CTCATCTGTGCATGTTATTTTTTTTATCCTTTGGATAAGAGGTCAGTATAGGGAATCCCTCAGAACCTGTGGAATACACCTTTGGTACAGGCAAATTCATGCCTCTACTCCATTTTGTTTTGCTTACGTTTCCTTTTTACTGCCTCTATGGTCTTCTAGAGAAAAATTAAGGTTTCCCTCGATTGGGAAAAGCTTGAGCCTAATGTCACAGACGGAGGAATTGGCGTGAAATGTTGCCAGTGCTTGTGAGTTTTTCAAGGCTCAGACTTTTCCCCTTGGTTCACCGGGGTGGGACGCAACCACAAAGCCAGGGCCTGGTAGGTGTCCTCCTATGGCTGGGTCTTCCCGGGTCTCCACCCTGGGTCGGGCATCCGGTTCACCGCATGCACACACCTGCTACACATAAGCTCCCTCGACCTGTAATCCACGCATCATGCATAAAATTACCTCTCCGTAGCCACACCCACTTGCTCACCCCAGACATACTTTTTTCCCCAGGACCCTCTGCACACAACATTCGGTGCACAGACACCTTCTTTACTCCTCCCAAACCCGCTTACTCTGCCATTCACTGTGATGGCACACAGGTGATGGGTCCTGTGTGCTGGGCACTGTGCTACATACTCAGAGATCATTTGGTCACAGACACTCACATACACTTTGGTTTCTACACACACAGATTCTACATGTAGGTATTTGCACGTCCTTTCACGTGTAACCACAGGTAACCCCCACATACTCAGATACATACACATACCTGTGGAGACATTCTCTCCATTCATGCCCCTTATATCCCCTGACTATGTTCAGAATGGTCTTGGATTTTGCTTTCCTCCATGGCATTTTGCTTTCTCAATGCAGACGATGTAAAGATGGTAGGGGACAAGGCTTGTGAAACAGCACAATTTTGGACATGCTGGCAGGTTCTGGTGTGTTATGTTTATCTTCAAAAGAGACATCACCTCCCTCCCTTTTCCTGGCAAAGCTCCATATTTCTCCCAGTCCTGGGAAAACACTGGCTGCCGTCCTGGGTGGGAGATCTGACCTGGGGGAGGGCAGTGGTGGCCTTAGTTAGGACAGTCTTATCAGTCACTGACTGTGGACTGTGGACCCTCGAATCAGGAGGAAAGCAAGGGAGAGGGAGGCAGTGAGCCAAACTGCCTCCTCATTCCTCCCTGAGATCAGCACCTCCCGACTTAGGAAAACCCAGGGCAGCTGGCCCCAGCACTGAATTCTGCATCTTCTCTGAGGTGACGCCATCACAATAGCATGTTGTCACTCTCACACTCCCCCCTTCTACTTCCAACCTCCCAGTGACTCCCCAGCTTCTTCCTTTTCAAACACACTCTCAACTGAGGGTGTGAAGTCTTCAAGAGGACCCCAGAAGTAATATTTCAAAGTAAAGGAGTTCTGATCTGAAGGACAAAGGCTCCGGGAGCCAAGGACAAGGTAGGGTTTCTTTAAAAACAGGTACGGTATGGGGGGAAGGGGGTGGGGACGCCTCAGTGGCTTAGTGGGTTGAGCCTCAGACTCTTGATTTCAACTCAGGTCATGATCCAAGGGTCATGGGATCAAGCCCGCATCAGGCTCTATGCTGAGCTCAGAGCCTGCTTGGAATTCTCTCTCCCTCTCCCTCTGTCCCTCCCCTGCTTGTGCTCTCTCTCAATAAATAAATAAAAATAAACAAACAAATAGGCACAGGAGGAGGCCTGGGGTCATGCCCCTATTTCTTAATTTTCAATCCTACAACAGGAAACCTCGGTTTCAAAGTCATCTTTGACACTGGGGGCTGGAAGCAGGAGGGATCTAGGGAAGAAGGCACCGGGGACGTCTAAAACAAGAGTGGGCAATTCATGGATTGTCAGTTTATCCCTAAGAAACTTAAAAATGAGGGCGCCTGGGTGGCTTAGTCAGTTTAGCATCCAACTTCGGCTCAGGTCATGATCTCACAGTTCATGGGTTCGAGCCCTGCTGTCAACACATAGGCTGCTTCGGATCCTCTGTCCCCCTCTCTCTCTGCCCCTCCCACGCTCAATGTCTCTGTCTTTCTCTCTTTCTCTCTCAAAAAGAAATAAACATTAAAAAAAAAGAAACTTACCAATTAGTACCCAGGTTTGGGAAGAGACGGGAGGGAGGAACAGGTGGAGCACAGAGGATCTTTAGGGCAGTGAAAATACTCTGCGTTTCATTTCCTTCTACAACAACGGACACATGTCATGATACATTTGTCCAAACACGAGCAATGCACACCACCAGGAGCGAAGCCTAATGTCAACTGTGGACTCTGGGTGACTAGGTTGGACAAATGTCCCACTCTGGGGGTGGGGGTTGCTAATGGGGGAGGCTGTGCGTGGGTGGAGGCCCCGGGACGGGGTGGGGGCGGGGGGTGTATCCCTACCCTCCTCTCAGTTTTGCTGTGAACCTGAAACTGCCTGAAAAACAATGAAGTCTTAATATGAACCCGATCCACTACTAGATAAGAGAGAGATAAAGAGAGCAAGCTGGTCGGAGGCGATCAGAAAGCACACGGCGTTACAGAGAGATTGGAACTTTATTGAGACTTCCTCCCTGATTAAATCAGAATGGAAAGAACCCTGGAAAGGTTCCACTTTGGAGAGAGACAGCAACTGTTCAGGCACAAATACTTAACAGATACTCCTCTTAGGGGAATCTCTGGATCCTAAATTTACCCCCAGTTCCCAACCCTTCCTCCCCACCCCAAAAGACAGTCAGAATCCTACTTGAAATCCACATCCACAGAGTGGGGACCAAACAGCCCTGACAGCCCAGGGGGACCAACTGACCAGCCTGCAGGCTGCATGGAGAAAAGGTGGGTCAACGAGTGAGCAGGGGAATGGGGGTAAGAAAAGGAAAATGGATGGGACGAAAAGAGAGAAGATCACACCAATCATGTCCCCCCCCCCAAAATACAGATGCCATATGAATGTATCAGCCTCCTTCCACCTGCTTCCCCAAAGCAATGGTGACATCAGCCGCCATGACAATGCCTGTACACTTCTGCCCTGTTCACGTCCTCAACTGCACTGAGAAAGACAGATATGCCGAGAGCAGCTCAAGGGCATCAGGAGCATTAGGAGCAAGAGGGGAAGGCAGACTGTGGGGAGGGTACATGACAGCGAGATAAGGCGAGTGGTCATTTGTAATGAGAAGAAGCGCAGCTTTTCAGGCCCTGCTCACCAGGCTCCTTGGATGCCCCGGCAGGGCCCTGTTTCTCTGCTTGGCTCTGTCCTTGGAAACAATGTCCTGGAGGTTTGGGGGGCCTCCGTTGTCCTGTGGAAGGTTCCAGGTCCTGCACAAAGCCAGAGAAGCAGCGTCCACTGCAGCATGCATCAGAACGTTAATAATCCTAAGCAGGTATTCCGAATTCTCCACACGGACCTAGTCTAATCACCCATGTGTTTCCACTGCCTCGCCCCCAGAGTGCTTCCTCTCTGCCTTCATCTTCACTCGCTTTCCTTCTGGTCCAAGGTGACTTCCTGGTCAGGGGGGGCCTGACCCAGGCCTCCTGGGGAAGTCCCCCGGATAGCTCGCTCCCAGGGGACGCTGGCTCACTAGGGCAGAAGGAGCCCCTCCGGGCAGCCCTGGGCAGGGTCTCCTGGATTTGTGCAAACTGGTCAGCCACCTGCTTTTTGTCAAAAGGCTCCTTCCCTCCATCCCCTGCCGCCCTCCGAGATGGCCGAGGTGGCACACCAGCCAGGCAGGACCCTCACGACACATTCCTTCTCCACGGCCTCTGGCGTCTGCGATCTCAGAATCTCTCTTGCACAATGCGGTACACACATATTCACACTCATTGGTTCTTGAAGGCCCTGGCTTCCCTGTGGCGCGTGGGTATCAGTATCAAGTTCAGGTGGAAAACCGCATGTCAAGCCTTGATTGCCGCCGACACGGAGTGGCTGGCGCCAGTTCTGAACTCGTGGAAATCGCTTGGAGTTTTGAATGTTGTGCATCAGGGCGTGGAGAAGAGGGGGAAGGAAAAGCCATGGCATGAAAATCAGGAGGGAACGACTCTTCTGCAGAGAAGTTGTGGAAACTGCCTCCTCCTACATTTGGGGGGTGGAGATGGGCGGCCCAGAGAAGACCCTGATGAAAAGGAGCAAGGTCTCCATCGTCCCCTCTGAAACCCAATGCCTTTGGGGTCTGAGTTTTCCAAGACATGCAATAGACAAAGACACACTGCAAACCGATTAACCCTCTGAGCCCTTCCAGTATTTTTACTGAAGTCACTTCCAAGAAGTAAATGACCTGAATCCACGGAACACTCGGCCTCCTGTCGGGGCTGATAAAGGAACCGAGATTCCCAGCTGGCCTAGAAGACTGCTTGGGAGAAATGGCATGGGGGAGGCAGAACCTTCTTCCAGCCTGGGGACTCCTGTTCTCTCTCAGCATTCTGGTATCCTAAACCATTCCCTCCCACCCCTCGAGGAAACAGGGAAGAGGGCCTGGGGATGGGGGTGGGGGGGGGATGGTGGAGGCTCAACACCCAGGTGGATTCAGACCCAAAAGACTGTCGCCTGTTGAAGTCAACCCAAGTTGAGGAGGCAGACGGGGGTTGGAGGACAAGCAGGAGACTGTGTGGAAGGAAGCTACAAGGGACCTGAGCCCTACAGAAACCAAGTCTTCTCTCTTTTCCCAGCTTATAGGGGAAAAAGGAATTTCAGCTGAGTTTAGCTTGACACTCATCACCTCAGTATACACTAGAATTTAGCTGCTCTCTGTCCTCTCTGATAAGACCCAGGAAAAGCCGGCGGGGCCTCACTCAGGCCCCTCACTGAAGCAACAAGACACTATAATTCACAGTTTCCTCTCCTCCCTCGACCCACACCCTCCCCCACCACTGGCCTCAACGAACTCCCAAATCTCCAACACGTAGTGATTCTCACCAGTGTGGCTCAAAGGGTTAATTAACCAGGACTTCTCAGACAGTTAGGACACAAGCTCAGCCACCAACAGGAACCCAAGAATGGCTACACGGCGATCTAGTGTTTCTTATAGCGATTCTTTGGGGTCTCGCCACACCCTGTTTTGTCACAGTTGAGAGCACTGGGATTCTTCCCCAGCCCCAGGCTTCCCAGGAGGCTGGGGAGCTCCTGTGTGATGGCCCGCTCAATCTTCTCCAGAAAACAGCCCCCCATGTAGGAGCACTGCTGAGACAACAGCTTGAAACTGGAGATGGGGTTGATGCCAAAGAAGTCCTTATAGGCCTCGCGGTTGGGAAGGTCAAACTTGCTGACATTGGTCTTTGCCAGGATGGTCTTGAAGATGTAGAATTTGTCAGGGTCTTCCACAATGTCCTTAAAGACCAGTTCTCCGTCACTGAAGAAGGTCATTTTGTCCTTGTAAGTCTGCAGATAGCGGTCCACCAGGAGGGCATGAATGCGGACCCGGATGGCATGCTGGCGGATGAAGGCGATCTTGTTCTCCAATCTGTTCTCGATCACCTGGTTCAGGTCTTCCAGGAGTGAGATCTCTTCCTTGAGGAACAGGTCCCGGTAGGTGTCGGGCTTGTAGTCTTGTGGCCAGAAGGAGCTGACGTAAACCCGAGGGGGCTCTGTGACGTTGATGAGCGGGGCCAAGCTCCAGAAGAGGGCCCCATAGACCCGCATGAGCATCTGTGTGGCCAGGTTGTCGGCCTTGTTCAGGATGATCCTTATCTGGGATTCGCGCCCCTTCAGCTGGCGGAAGAGCATCTCCAGCTCCAAACCCACATCCAGCTTGGTTGGGTCAAAGACAACAAAGATGAGGTCTGCCCTGTCGATGAACCACTGGCACACGTCGTTGAAGGGGTAACCTTGGGAGGGGGGAGCAAGAAGTCAAGCAGAGCAGGCTCACCCTAATCCCCCCACCCCACACCCCCCCCCTTCCAGAACCAAAGCATTGCCTGGGTTGAAGGAAGTCACGGCACTAGGGATATTCTAGGTCTCTGAAGACTGAAAGAATTAATTACGTATCTCCTGGGCCTTGTCAACCCTCAACCAAGGACAGCCTAAGACCAGGACTGGAATTTGAGCTCTGCCACTAGCCAGACCAGGGTAACAAATGCTTCTAGGCTTTAGCATTTTAGCTACAAAATGACAAGAAGAATAAGAATACTTAAGTTGATATAAAGATTATCATGTTATAAATAAAGCAAAGCACCTAACTAAAACTGCCTATGTCGTAGGAGGTGCTCGATATATTTTATTTAATTCCTTCAACTTCTTCTTTCCAAAATGGGGAGACCAGGAATACCTGTCTTTTAATTTTTCTACAACAATCAGCCAATAATGCATAAAATTATCTGATGCATAATAGAAGAATAAAGGTTAATTTACTATTATAATGATTAGTGATAATATTATTACTAGTAATAAAACAGCAATAAAACCAAAATGAGAGTTATAAACTGAGATCCACCATCTGGTCATACAGTCCTACAAATGCCCTGCTATGACTCATCTCATATGACTCAGCCCTGTGTCATGGCGATACTCGGTGGCCTGTGTTGTAACCCAGCGCCTGCTGGGCCCCAAGTGGCACTCCCCTCCCACTGGAAGGCAGGTAGAACTTTGGAAGGTCTGACACAGGCTTATGTGAAGCAGGCCTGTAAAGCAACACTGGACCAGGAAGAGTTTAAGGTCAGGTTCAAACCAGACCCAAGTTAGCCCGAGGTCAAGTACACCTGGACTGGGATCCAAGTAATCCAGGCCCTTGATCCCTCGGGAAAGTCTGAGCCTCCCCAAGACAGCTCAGCCCCAGCATGGACCTCAAGGAGCTACTTACAGAGATGACCAGCCCACCCTTTGGGAAAATATGGATTGCCTCCAAACTAATCAGCCCTCGGGGAGGTAAAAGAACATGGTACTCCACACCTAAGTGGGACCATGGTGACAACCAGAAGGGACTGGCAGCAAAGACTACACCCCTTGGTGTTGGACAATGCTGGCCACGCTTCCTCTCCCCCGTCTGCCTACCACCCACTGCCCAACAGCTTTCTAAGACAAAGTTCGCGCTGTTCAAACACAAGTGCCTAATTACCTCTTTCTTGCTGCTTGCGGTTCTCAATGATGCCTGGTGTATCCACAAAAGTGACCCGCTCCAGAAGTTTGTGGGGAACCTCGATGCCGATCAGCTTCTCCAGGAAATTCTGGCCAAATTTCTCAAGGGGGGAGAAGGACCGGGCGCTATCAGCAGCCATGACAATACCCTCGATGGTTTTCAGCTTGGGCCCGTGCATGAGGACCGTGAACTCAGAGGTGGTGGGCTCAGCACCTGCAAGCAAGGGCATGAGGTTAGTAGGAAGGCTGTCCTCTCTGGGAAAGAGACCCTACTACAAAGTAAGCGGGTAAGCAAGGGGTTCCAGGGAGGGTTTGCCATGAGAACTGGATACTACGTTTGCTAAGCAGGATACTATTTCTTTTTCCAATTGTGGTAAAATATACATAACACGACTTACCATGTGAACCATTTTCAGGTGGACAGTTCAGAGGCGTGAAATACATTCGTGGTGTTGTGCAGCCCTCATCACCATCCATCTCCCAAACTGGAAGTGTCCCCATTCGTTCCCCTCCCCCAGCCCCTGGTAACCTCTACTCTACCCTGTCTCTATGAATTGAGGACTCAAGGCATCTCATAAGTGGAATCACAGGATATTTGTCCTTTTGTGTCTGGCTTATTTCACTTAATATATAGTGTCCTCAAGATTCATGCATCTTGTAGCATGTTCCAGAAATGCATTCCTTCTTAAGACTGAATAATACTCCAAACTCCATTATATGGATAGCCCTTTTGTTTATGCATTCATCCATCGCAAGAGGTGGGTTGTTTCCACCTCTTGGCCATTGTGAAAAATGCTGCTGTGAACATGGACTGTAGCTGCTGGGTTCTTGGGTGTAATTCTCATGATTATATTGAAGACACATACGAATGTTTCCTAGTGCTTTTACACAGGACATTGAGATACCAACAAACACAAAAAAAATCTCTCACTATTACCTGTATAGAGCTGGTAGCGAGTGTTTTCCAACCCAAGGAGGTAGTTTATCATGGTGGATTTGCCAACGCTCCACGGTCCCAGGAACAGCACCATTGGCTTGGAAGTAATCTCCCCATCTGTAGGCAGCAGGAATTAGAAATGGAAGTGACTAGGGGCGCCTGGGTGGTGCAGTCGGTTAAGCGTCCGACTTCAACCAGGTCACGATCTCGCGGTCCGTGAGTTCGAGCCCCGCGTCAGGCTCTGGGCTGATGGCTCAGAGCCTGGAGCCTGTTTCCGATTCTGTGTCTCCCTCTCTCTCTGCCCCTCCCCCGTTCATGCTCTGTCTCTCTCTGTCCCAAAAATAAATAAATGTTGAAAAAAAAATTTAAAAAAAATTAAAAAAAAAAAAGAAATGGAAGTGACTAATGAAGTTTCTTCCTACGGGAGTGACACAGGGCATCACACAGCATCACACGGTCCATCTGAATGAGTTACAGATTTCCACATTGGACAAGACAGGGGGTGGCAATCGGCGGCTCGCCTCTCGCTATGTAAGTGCGATCACCCAGTTAAAACCAGAAGACACGATGCTGGCCTTACACAGATCCTTTGCACAGCGGCACCAGAAGCAGGAGCTAAGTGACATCAACAAATACTGACTCAGAGCTCACTCTGGGTGAGGCCTCCTGGTTTACATCTGGATTTACATCCCCTTCCTAAGAAGGGGAGAAAAGAGCTACCCCACGGCGAGGGGTTGAAACTCTGCTATCTGGATTGGTAACAGAAAAAACAGAGAGACAGGAAAGAGACTCACACGATCTTAGACAGCCTGGACGGGGGCCCCCTGACATCCTACCTCAGGCTCGGCCCAACACTGGGCTCAAGGCCAGTCTCAAATTAGCCTCTAGAGACCACGAAATATTTGCCAGGTCCCAAGACCAAGCACTGAGTAGGCAATTCTTGGGTTCTCGGCAGTGTCGGGAAGCACACACTGCCTGGGCCCTGCCAGCTGGGGTCCCTAGGAAGAGAAGGCAGATTCCTCCAGAGCTTCCAAAACCAGGGGGGCAGAAGGGATGTGGTCACTGGCCACTGCCTTGCAGCTCTCCACTCTTGCAGCTCATCTCTGAGCCACGGCACGGAGGGCCAGCCCTGCCTAGTTTATACCTCAAATTCTCCAGACCTCTTTGTCTCCCTGAGCCTGGCACAGAGGCCCCAAACGGTAGGAACTCTTTTTTTTTTTTTTCATTTATTTTTTTTTCTGTTTTGATGTACAGTATTTAATTTCTTGCTTCAAAAATCAGAAGTATGGGGCGCCTGGGTGGCTCAATTGGTTGGGCATCCAACTCTAGATTTTGGCTCAGGTCGTGATCCCGGCATTGGGCTCTGCACTGAGCGTGGAGCCTGCTTGGGATTCTCTCTCTCCCTCTGCCCCTCTCCCCTACTCACACACACACACCCTCTCTCTCTCTAAAAAAAAATTTTTTAATTAAAAAAAAAAAAAATCAGAAGTATACCTGTCCCCAATCTGCCTAGGCCATGACACCTGGCAGACAGGGCAGAGAGAGAGGGAGACACAGAATCTGAAGCAGGCTCCAGGATCTGAACTGTCAGCACAGACCCCGATGTGGGGTTTGAACCCACGAACCGTGAGATCATGACCTGAGTTGGAGTCAGACACTAACGGACTGAGCCACCCTGGTGCCCCACCTTTCAGGTATTTTAATGCATACGGAAGAAGCAATATTAGCAAATATCACATTCCTCTTTTTTTATATACAAACAGGAGTACAGTATTCCTCTTGTTCAGCACCTCGCTTCTTACTGTGCTGGTTTTCTTTCTGTAAGGTGAAACTAAGTCCCAGAAGACCACGACGGCATCTCGTAAGTGGCAGGCACATGTATAATTGCCTGAAATTGATACCATGGCCCTGCCCCATTCCTCCCTGCCTGCAAATACATGCTCACGTCTCTGGGTGTCAACCCCTGGCTTGAGGACAGGGAGGGAGAGGCAGGCTGAGGGGTGGCAGGAGTCCCCAGTTATAGCCACAGAGATCCTACACGAAGTGTCTTTTGCCCAGGCCCAGGAGTCAGAAAGGGAACTGGACCTTCCAGCTCCTGGCCGAGAGCCCAGGAGACCAAGCAGGCCCAGGAGACCCAGGCCCAGGAGACCAAGCAGCAGGCTCTCTGGGGGCTGCTGTTTCGGCTGTCTGCAGCAGGGGGCGTTACTGGCATCTGCAGGAGGCCACAGGTGAGACTCAGAGGCGGCCCCAAGGCACTGCGGTGGAGTCCCCAGCACTGGGGGAGGTGAGGAGAGAGAAGCCAAGCCCAGAAAGTGGCATCCGGAGCCCGGAACGCCCTCCCTGCAGAGCGCCCTGCCCCTGCCGCCCAGCAGCCTCCTGGGCCAAGCCGCCGGGTCTGGGACTGCGGGAGAAGTCAAGCGCAGAGGACAGGAGAGCCACGGGAGACTGCCACCTCACACAGCCCCTGTGAAGCCCGAGAGGATGGTCTGCTCTTAGGCTTGCAAGAGGCAGTCTGGGAGTCACGAAACAGCCTTCTCTCGGAGAAGAAGTAGACAGTCCCGGCTCCTGGTTCCAGCCGTGTGATCCTGGGTACCCAGCATCTCTCTGGGCACCAGGTCCCATTATTCCTGTTCCTGAAGCAGGAATAATGTACATCCTAAATACCCAACCCACTTTATAGCCATCAGGCACATCACATGAGATAATATGGCAACACCACTGTGAAAATTTTCAGAGGATTGACTCCCCAAAAGGGTGTGGCTGCAGGAGGACGAGAGCTCTCATACACCTTACTGTGGCCTCAGCCTGGCACCACCTAAGGCAACTTAGGGACAACTCTGAAAATGCTTAACTCGTGTTCCACTTTTTAAAATATTTCCCACAGATATATTTGCGTGGAATATGTAACGATTATAGTAGTGTTTATAACGTTTTTAAAAATGGCGGGGCACCTGGACGGTTCAGTCTATTGAGCGTCCGGCTCGATTTCGGCTCAGGTCATGATCTCAGGGTCGTGAGATCGAGCCCCGCGTAGAGCTCCGCACTAGACATGGAGCCCGCTTGAAATTCTCTCTTTCCTTCTTCCTCCCTCTGTACGCCCTGCTCACATTCTCTCTCCCTCAAAAAAGAAATTAAAAAGTAATAATTAAAAACAATAAAAATGGAACATGGCAAACACCCCGTGGTCCATCAGTAGAACAGTGCCCATCTTGTGTGGTGCGTGCAGAGGCTCAAGAATAAAGTGGGGCTGCACACACACGACTGTGTGATGTGATACCATCGTGTCAAACTAACAGAGAAGGACACACTTGTATGTGCTCGTGCACAGAGCAAATGTCTGGTCTGGAAGTATCTGTAGGAAACTGTAACAGTGGGAGTGTCTGCAAGTGAAGTGGAGAAACTAGAAATAAAGAAAGGGATTTTTGTTTTTCATATTTATTTATTTATTTATTTTTGAGAGGGGGGAGGAGCAGAGAGAGAGACAGAGGATCCCAAGCAGGCTCTGTGCTGACAGCAGACAGCGTGATGCGGGGCTCGAGCTCACAAACTGTGAGATGATGATCTGAGCTGAAAGTGGGACACTTAACCGACTAAGACACCCAGGTGCCCCAGAGATTTTTATTTTTCCATTTGTACTTGTTTTTCACTATTTGGTTATTCATTTTTTACGGGGACAAGTATACCTTGTGTTTATTGTTCTGAAAATCAATGTTTAAAAGAATCTAGGGGTGCCTGGGCGGCTCAGTCAGTTAAGCGACCGACTTCAGCTCAGGTCATGACCTCACAGTTCGAGGGTTCATGCCCCGTGTCGGGCTCTGTACGGTCAGCTCAGAGCTTGGAGCCTGCTGTGGATTCTGTCTCCCTCTCTCTCTGCCCTTCCCCCACTCATGCTCTATCTCTCTCTGTCTCTCAAAAATAAATAAACGTTAAAAAAAATTTTTTTTAAGAATCTAGACACAAGGAAAACCAACTGAAGAAGCCATAAGGAGAAGGGAAGGATTGCAGGCCAATTAGGGGGCTTAATACATGATCCCTTAGCAGTCAGGGAGCTGTCGTGGACCCTTCGGCAAGGGAGGGATGGAAACGGGCATCGCTGTCCTTGGAAACCACATCCGTGCCAATGAAGCGTGAATGCTTGCAAAAGAAGTGATCTCCACAAAACCCTGTGCAGGTTAGGGCGATCTTGCAGGGGAAGGATGATCTTGTGGCCAGGGCATCAGAGAATTCAGCAGAGTTCAGCTCCCCGTGGCCTCACACCCACCACTCACACAGCTCCAGAGGGCGTGGGGAGTGTGGATGGACATCAGACACGAGGGGTACCTGTGATCTCGTGCTGCCGAAGCTCGTTGTATTTGTAAGACTGCTCCAAGGGCTTGATGGACGAATGGTAGATCTTTCGAAGCCGCTGCAGCACCACTGGGAGCAGAGAAGGGTGAAGGGAGAGGGAGAAGGGAGAGGGTTCGGCTCACTCCCCAGGGCAGCTCCTCCCCAGGCTGGTGGGGAGCAGGGACCCCACTGGCAGCCTCACCATGCCATCTATTAGCATTCCTGGAGGGACCTGGTCCACATCCCAACCCTCAGAAATCTTTAACCAAAAGGCATTCACTTCCCACCCTCAGAACCTCCTGGAATTGTTTTAACCTAATCTTCTTCTCCCTCCAGGGCAAAACTGGGAGCCCACATGATGTGAGGCACAGAAGGAGAAGCTACGTCTAGAAAACCTGACCCTCCCCTCCCTCTGCTCCCGTCCAACCATGTGCCCTGTGCAAACCGTGGCTGCTCTGAGCCCCAGCTAGCTCATCAGTTAGTAGGAGGCAGTAAGCCCCACTGAAACTCTTAGGTTACTATGAGGATGAAATCCCAGAAATAAAAGAGCCTCAAAAACTGTCAAAATCACAAGCCTCCCCGGCCACAGCATGAAGACTGGCACAGGGCACCAGACGACAACACTGGGATCGGTCCCCTACCCTTGCAGTGGCCCCTCTGTGTGGATCACCTTTTCTCCTCCCTGCCAATCCACAGCCCCCACCCCAGCCTTGGATGCTGCTCTCAGAGCATCTTCCATGAAGCCCCCCATGTCCAGGGCTCTCAGGCCTGGGTAGCCGCTGGCCTCAGAGCCCAGCCCCTGAGGCTCTGCCTGGCCACTGGTTATGTAGCTGCCCAGCCCCAGCTCCAGATCCTTCCTCTGGTTACCAGAGTAATCATCAACAGGCTTGTCCTCATTCAGCATCAGAGTTTTCTCGATGTGGGAGCGGTCCCTCATCGGGACTTCTTCACTCACATCCTCCACCTCTTCTGGGGAGAGAAGCAGAGAGCAGAGTTAGGGCGAAGCTAGGAGCAGGGCTCTAAGCCCCTGGAAGACTGGAAAGGGCATAAGGAAGTGCTGCGGGAAGGCTCGCCAAGTTCAACTGAACAGGGTTCTGGCTCTAGGAAGGACTTTCCACAAATACTGACTGAGCACCGACCAAGGGTCAGGCACTGAGCTTCATGCTGGGGATGCGGTGGTGCCCAAAACAAAGCCCCTGCCCTAGGGGAGTTTTCCTGCGGTCCGATGGAGACACAGGGAGAAATCCTCTCGAAAGCTAAGGTAATAATTATAGTCTGTGATGTGGCTATGGCAGGAAAGAGCCCAGAAGCTGTGAGGGGCTAAGAAGGGTGCCTATGAGGTCTCAGAGGGGGCATTGGAAAACCTCCCCCAAGAGCCCAGGACTGAATTGGGTGAAGATGAGGACAGGAGACAGGAGTGGTTTATAGGAGTCTGCCTGTCACCCTAAGAGCACTGGAAGTCAGGGCTGGGCTCTAAGCGAATAACTGCCCTGATGAAATGAGAATTTTATCAGCCTCACACAGGCTTCGGTGGGGCATGGGCAGGAGCAGCTCTGCCTGGGAGTTCTGGGGGCGGGGGTGGGTAGGGGGCACCGTTGCTTCTTGCCCAAGCGGGAGATGCCCATGACTGCCTGCAGGCTCCCAGGGAGGGATGCCCATGCCATGGGCCTCTGATATCACAGCCTTTGTGCTGGGTGGGATGGACATGGGCGTGAGGGGCACAGGGAGACTGGTTCCACAAGGGAAGGGAGCAGAGAAGCATCCATGTGCCTCACGCAGCAGCTCGGGAGTGGGATTCTCCGCAGGGATCAGCCTGGGCAGCAGAGAGGGGAGGCAGGAAAAGCAGTGGGGGGGGTGGGGGGGTGGCGCCTGCTGGCTCAGGGAGTGTGCGAGCACCCGACAAGCAGCGTGGAAACTAAATCCCACAGGGCAAACTGTGGGGAAGCCATGCTGGAAAGCGAGGGCTGGGCCCCATGCCTCCACCCTGAAAGCCAGCTGGGCTCTCGTCCAGGCCAGCATCTTCCCATGCGACTTGTGGGCTGTGCTATGCCTCCCTCCCCTGCTCCCCACTCCCCATTATGAGTGGGGAGGCTGCTGCTTTTCCAGGTGAGCATCTGCATGACATCAGTGTCACCCCCAGCCTGAGATTTCTTATCACCATCCTGACCCTGGTCTCCGTTCACCCCACCGGACCTGGCCTAGCCTTCAAGGGGAGACCCCAGGGGGCTCCCAACCACACCCTACCTGCACCTCTCTCCACCAGCTTGCTGCGACAGGGCCTCAAATCCTGCCACTACATCACCTGTCCTTCAGGGGACCTGCACTGGTCCCCGTTTAAGTGCAGGGAGGCTCCTGAGGGCCCAACTCCCAAGTGACCAGGTTCCTTTGGCCCCTCCACTGTGCAGCCTCCCACTGGTCCCTCTGAACAGGGCTTAGTGGCTAAGGAGCAGCCCGTAGGTACCCGGTGGGCCAAGCCTCCATCCAGCAAACCCGGAGCTGACTGGGGGGTTCCCCTGTCGCGCCCCGTCCCACCACACATATGTCTGCCAATTCCGGGAACCCCCTACCCTGAGGCCCCTCACCAGGTTCCTCTGTCTCGTCCCCCTCAGGCCCTGTATTTGATTCCTCTGAGATCAGTTGGGTCCCCTCGTCCCCAGGGCTTGCGGTTGCTGCTGCTTCCTGGGGTTCCCCGGCTTCCTCCAGGGTGCCCCCTTCTTCTTGTTCTTCTTGTTCTTGTTCTTTTTCTTCCTCTTCTTCTTCTGAACTAGCCCCGTCACCACTGTCCTCCTCGGATTCTTCGGACACAGCGCCTTCTCCTTCCTCATCTCCGCTGTGGTCACCACTCTCCTCTTCAGAGGAGACATCCAGGCCCTCCTCAGTTAGCCCTGGTGCCTGGGCCTCAGGGCGCTGGGCCTCCTGGGTGCCCCCCGCCTCAAAGCTCTGTGCACTGCCGGTCTCCGAGGCCAGGGTGAAGGTGGGCTCCCCGTGGTCCTCGGCCCCCTCCTCAGTTTCTGCGTCCAGGTCCAAGGTTCCGTCTGGCACCTTTGGCTCCTGATCAGGCCCTGGACTGTCCTCCTGCTGTGTCTCTGGGGCATGGGCCTCCTTGACCTCTACGCCCCCCGAGCCTTCAAGCTGTGCGGTCCCTACTGCTGCCCCCTGCTCGGCGTGGTCGCCTACGACTTCTTTGGCCTCTTCAGGGACCATGCTACTCCCAGTCTGTCCTTCGGCCTCCCCAGAAACCCCCTCCTGTCCTGGGCCCTCTCCCAAACCCAGCTCTTCCTCAGGCCCATCCTCCCCTCCTGGTGGGCCTGCTTCTTCCTGCCCAGGCCCCGCAGGGTCCCCGGGGGCAGCTGACTTTGAGGCTGAGGCATTGGAGAGGCTGGCTTCGGGACCAGAGCCCGGGCCGGTGGCGGCGGCAGCAGCAGCAGCAGCGGGGGCCCCGGCGGCTGTCTGCTCCGAGCCCTCAGCCTCCCTGCCATCCGGGGAGTGAAGGAGCAGGGTCTTCTCTCGAGGGGCGGCCTCCGCATAAAGCGCCCTTTCCTTCTCCTCTAGAGTTGCATCTCCAGCAGAGAAATGATTCTCCAACAAATTGCCAACATCTTCTGTGCCACCCGAGGCGGAAACTTGCAGTTCTAAATGATTAGAACACCATTGGTCAGTTTCACGGGGTTGGCACTGACTCTGCTTCTCTAAAGACTCTAACGCAACCTAGCTCCTGTCCTCCAGGAGTGAGGCGGGGACCGGGGCCTGCGGCGACGCACCTTCCTGCTCTTCGTAACTGCCCTTGGAGGTGAGCAGAGTGAGTGTTTCTCTGCCTCCCTCCCAAGATGTGGAAGGCAGCTCTCACCACTGTCCACCCCTGGAGGAGTGAATGGCTGAGCCACCCTGAGGGCCCCACCCTGGCCCTGACTCTTCGAGCCTCCGCTGGGTCCCGATGGCTTCAGGGAGGGAAACTCAGATCCCTTCCAGGCCTTCCTCAACCTTGCAGCAGGCACGTGCAGCCAGGCTCACCAGGAGACCTTTCCAAGATAGGACAGATGCATGGACATTCCGCCCCTGTCAGTTCCTAGAGTCATTAACCAGCATGCTTTTTATACTGCTATCAGCAAAGGAGTGAAAACAGGTGTATGCGGGCCAGATCATCTTAGGTTACACGGCAAGTACTTAGGGGATTACTTGTGGCTCTCAGCCTTATTAAGTCACACATCCAACTCTGTCCCCTTCAGGGCAGGCATTTGCTGGCCTTGCTACCTTAGATTACAGGGGACGTGGCCCGAGGAGGAGGAGGAGATATCCAAAACAGGCAGGGCCAAGAGCTTCCCAGCAGCCTTAGCCAACCCCTTCCCGAGGGGACCCCTTCTAAGGACTGATGGCTTTACCAGGAGAGCTGAGGGCACAGAGGCAGCAGGAGAGAGGGAGGTAGGGGGCTTCTAAGTGTGGGAGACCTCTCTCAGGAGTAAAGTGTGATTCATGTGCAAAATGGGGTCAGAAGAAAGGACTGGGCCTATCCCTTCTGACCCCTCCCACTCAGGTCAGGACCTGTGTAAGAAAGGAGGCTCTGCAGGCATAGAGAGATGAAGGGCCACTGGCCCCTTGCCTTGGGGTAGCTGAGACAGCCCCAGGGCTCCCTTGACTCACAGAGATGCTTTCTGAAGGAAGCAGCATCCCACCTCTGCTGGGGACAGCCTGGTACTCCCATCTCTGCATCCCACAAAGAAAAGCCACTTCTTGGGGTCCCTCTTTTGCCTGAGTACCCACCCATCCTGTTTCCTGAAAGCTGGGGCAGTCTCCGGGGTCGAGGAACAAATATTCTCGCATTAATCCCCACAGTGGCAACCTGTTATCAAATTCAGAAGGAGGAAATTCAGACGCCTTTAATTATAAAGGAACCACTTACACTGATAGGACACTTTGACGTTCATGACCTCAGCCGACCTCCTCGATTACCATCTGGGGGACTGGACCCCAGAATTACCTACTCCTCATCCAGGCCTTCCACGCCAACTATGTTTAGGGGTGCACAGGAGAATCCCTTCGCACCCCTCCCTGCACATGCCTTCTCTCCGCTCCTGAACTATGGGAGCCAAGGCTTAATCCTCCCTGTGTTCCCCAAGCCTGGGACACTGCCTGGCCCACAGAAAGTGCTATGGAGAGGTCTGTGGTGACATCCGGGTACAATGAGAATTTCTTGTCCCTCAGAGAGGGAGAACTGGAGGTTACTCACTAAAATTTTCCTTCATTGCCTGCAGAATACCTATATGTCCTGATTCTTTGCTGCATCTCCGACCCCTTGACTCCCTGGAGAGAAATCTATGGTGGGAACTTGGTTTAACCCAAAGAGACTGACAGTCCTTCTCAGCAGCAAGGCACATGTAATATATTTCTTATGAGATACATGTGCACAATTATTCAGGGCGCCAGGCAATGCTTAAGCACTTTATATAAATAAAACATGAACTGATCTTACTCAATGTACTTAATGTCACTTGCTTCTGTAAGACAAGTCTTACGCTTATCCCCGTGTTACAGCTGAGAGGACTGAAATCTGAGACACTGAATGCTTTGCCCAACACGCAGCTGGTAACTGGCTGAGGCCGTTTAACCACAGAGCTTCAGAGGAGACTGCCTGGCCCTGGAGCAGGATACCGCGCCTCGGAGTGTGGTCCAGGCACCTGCAACACCGGCATCACCTGGGGGCTAGGGAGACATGCAGGCTCTGGGACCCTGGCCCAGACCCACTGAATCAGAATCTGCATTTTCACAAGATGCCCAGGCAATTGGTTTCCAGAAGCACGAGTCTACACCACCTGATAAAACTGCGTCTGAACCGGTGGTTCTGGGCACTGGCTGGACATTGGAATCACCCAGTTCTTGCGCCACTCCTCCTCTCTCCTCAGAAGTTCTGACTGAATTAGGATGTATCCCCAGCATCAGAACTTTAATAAAAAAATTTCTTGGTAATTCTAACATGCAGCCAAAGCTGCAAACCACTCATAAACCAAATAATCCTAAACCCAAGGCTTCTGCTCCTGGCCCTCCTGACTCGTGTGCCCACGGGGGGCTTCCAATTTGGATGAGTCACCCAAGGCTTGGCATGTGCCTTTGGAACAGCAGCAATCCAGGCTCCTCCTCTGGTGAATCCAGCCCTTTCCACGGGTCCCTTTTGCCTTCTACTGTTGATGATGATGATGGTGATGATGGTGTTGGTGATGATGATGGTGGGGACGGTGCTGGTGGTGATGGTGTTGGTGATGATGATGATGGTGGTGACAGTGATGATGGTGATGGTGGAGATAATGGTGATGATGGGGATGGTGGATGGAATATACTCTGGGTCTGACCACTTGAGGTGTTTCTAATATTCTCTAATAAATTTCTAATAAGTTTCTAATTTCTAATAAAACACCTTCTGTCCCTGGTAAGAGTAAAAGGGTTATGTAATCCCAAGGGAAATGAGGACCCCAGACTTTGGGGGCTTACCACGAACTTCATTCCACTCCTGGGACCCGGACAGGAATTCAAGTATGTGCGTGTGTGTATACACATTTATATCCACACCCTTCCTGGGTTTTATGATTTAATGCCAAGCCGTCACTGACCTGCTAAGCAATTTGGAGCAAAAGAGACCAAGGGTGATGCCTTCATGCCCTGTGACCTTCTTTTCCAGGCTAAAAATAACATCTCTGACAGAAAGTCCCTCCATGAAACAAGCTATGCCATCGGGCCCCCAGAGCCCAATCCCCAGGAAGCAGCTGTGCCATTGGGCCTGATCTCTCCTCTGGGAGGCAGTCAAAGGCTTCAAGAGCCTCTGATTAAATTCAGTGTAATTCCATGAAATCAAATCCAGTGTCTTCCCTTCCTCCCTGATCTCTCCAGCATCTAGCTGGAGCCCCCAATGGCCCCTGGAGGAGGTGGGGGAGGGCACAGAGGCCCCAGGATACCCTGAATGAGTTGAGAGCCTGGTAAGATGAGTCTTGGTCTACCCCAGGACACACAGTACTGTACTGTAGGTGCAGCTGCCAAGGCAGCCGCCCTGCCCCTGGACAGGCCCGGGTGCTTACGTCAGAGTACATGAATAGCAAGCCCCCAGCTCCACCCCAGAGATCACGGGAAGGCCCGCGTGCTGGACAGCCTGAGGCCCTAGCCCCACTCACACTCCGGGCAGAGCGTGGCATAAACCGGTTCTGCTTTCTCTCCCGACACCACCTCTGCCATCTTTGTGGTCAGTCTTTCGGTGGCTTGCCCCCTCCACAGTCCTAGCAGGGACCCCAGGCTCAATTCCTCTTTCTACTACCAACCAAACACTTGATTGTTCCCAGTTCCTAACCCTTCCCAAAGCACTTTCCACATGGACTCAAAACTGTGGAGTCACCAAGGGCCTTGCTGCGTCCAACTGCAGAGGGGGAAGCTCTGGCCAGGGAGCTTTAGAGACTTTCCCAAGGTCAAAGGTAGGGTTGGGACAGAGCCCAGGTTCATGGCCCTCAGTCTAGAGTTTGTCCTGCTCCCATGTAGCTTACAAACCATGTCCCATGAAAGCTAGAGTTCCACGGACTTGGTTAGGGGGTGCAGGAAGATAAAGGAACTGGGGTTCAGCCACCCCTTTACTTCCTGCCAGCAGCTCCTCTTGGGAGCTATTCAGTCCCACTGCCTAAGGAGGGGGGGTGACAGCCACTGCTTCTGCCTCTCTCGCCTTGTCCCTAAAATTTCCACTAGCCTCCTCTTGATCATTTTCCCCAACAGCCCAAGGATCCCCCACTGTGGCATCTGCTGACTTTGCTGACCATCGTGTGCCCAGCACGGAGCTGGGTGGTGTCTTTCCTTCACGCAGAACTTCACGCTTCCCAAAGGAGTTTCATGTTCTTCAAGCAGACACGGGAAAGTCCAGTTGTTTGCCCAACGAGCATTCCAGGGATGGGCTAGAACTCGGGCCAAGAAACAAAGCAGAGCTCCCGGGCCACATGCGGGTGGTATCCAAGAGCTGCAGGGCTTTCCAAGCACAGACGCCCAACCTCTGAGGTTTGGGTCAGCATGAATCTGCATGTTTCAGAAGGTGATTCTAACAAGCACTAACGTGTGACAACCCTCCGTGCCAGGCATCAGGGAGTCTGTTTTGAAGCTGAAGCCGGAGATCGGCAGGTCAGAACCCGAGATGCTGCTTAGTTGACCTGTTTTGAACCCACCTCGAGGTGCTGAATTTATTCAGTGCCTCCACGGAATAGAAGGTAAACTCAATCCCACCTGTCCAAGACTCCTCAGCACACATTTCTAAGGACTGGCCAAGGTTATCCTCCACGTCTTCTCATCCAACTGAAACTATTGAGTCCAAAGTCACACACAGGTAAAATACCTTTGACTGTCACTCATACACAATTATGCAGATGAGTCATCAGTAATAAAGCCCCAGGGGGACAATCACTTTCCAGTTCTAACCCTGGACACATCTGTACCCAGGAGTCAGGAATACCAGTCTTGCATCCAGACGGTTCCACGTCTTTCACCAGGCTGTCCTTCACCCCAACACTCAGACAGCTCATCGGCCGTGCCTCAAGTGCACCCTTCAGAAACGGAGTCAGAGCAGCACACCGACCCCTTCTGTGTCCTAGGTCTTGTCTCTGAACGCTCCTGGACGGGC